AAAGTCCAAAACTTAACAAAAATGTGAAAAATCTCTTAAATCGTCGTCAATCAAGCTAAACTTGTAATTTTAATGCACTCACAGTTCTCGTAGCCTTCACGGAACATTACTGCGTCACTCCAACAGTCCAATGCAATGCGGTTCACGGATCAAAATTCCCAAAAACTACGAAACAAGTGATACGGTTCACAAAAATCACATGATGTCGTCCTTTATCCGACCAAAGCCCAATCAACTTCTGTTTAAGTCCCTTTTTCGAACGAGCTTCTCGAACACGACACAACACTCACTTTTGTCTGATCCCCCCTCTCATACTCCGCGCTCTTCTCTTCACCAGCACACACTGAACTCCGAAAACCTGTCCACCCGCCAAAATAAAAGTCCGCCAAAAATAATTATTATTTCTAGATAATATATACCCGTTACACACAGTTAATTAATTATAACCATTTGAAAATGTCATTTTTGGGGCCCGTTTTAAAAAGAGCTGTTTTGGTGTGTACCACCTTAAATGTAAATGAGCTGCATATCCCCGCCCTGCCTTTGGATGAGGGCGTAACTTGCAGTCGGTCTAAGCAGAATGAGAGAGACCCGCTGTTTTGTATGTCATTCAGCCGTACATGTTTGAATCAGAATCAGACCCAGATGACGAAGAGACTCCGGCAGAATAAACACAAATGAGAATGGACCAGGACGTCTCGGAATGGTTCTTTGATACATGTATGTACTTATAGAGTTGTAATCGCGTCCCCTTTGCAATTATGGATGTGCTACACAGGCACACACAAACTGTGATAACGTTGGCGCAATTTTTTGAAACTACAAACACATACTGTGATAAAGTTTGCTACGTACAAGCGAAATTACATTTATGCGAGGGACCTGTTGCGTGCGTCATGTTTACATTACTTGTCATACAGGCGCTTATGTGGCAAATGTGAGAAGATGGCTACAGAACAAGAAAATATATGCAGTTTTTAATACAATATCTTAAATATATATATATATTTATAAACGTGTGGTTACACACTATACAAACCAGGCTTAAATTATATACACAGACATCCTACGACGACGACGACAACAACTTTAGACGCATTTGTTGTTGAATTGGCTGACATCGACTGAAATGACTATTTGCTCAAAAATCATAAAATACACTTAACGTTACTGGAGGTGACGTTGGATCGCAAACAGTAGACGACGATCCACACTTGAGGATTAACTTTGAAGCAAGACCTGCTTTGAATTGACCCTCGTTCACAAAACAGTCAGTCAGAAAATGATTCTCTCAAACATAAACTTATTTACGAAGGAAAGGTGTCCTCTTAAACTTCCAAAATACAATACATCCACTGTGTTTTCAGTGGCTATGATGTCGGAAGTGAGTGAAAACTACTATGTATGTCATTATTACATCCCATCCCACAACGGAACACTTATGTTTCTAGGAGACATCACCGGCTGTCGTTAAAACAATGGAGGATGGTGTACAGATCACAGAGGGAGGGGTCAACCACACTGTCAATCAAACCCCTTTCCCATGTTCTACGTCACAAAAAGCTGAATCTTAGAACAGCTCGTTCTGAGACCGTGCTTATGATTTATTGAGATTGTAAAAAAAACACTGGGTGGATTTTTATCATTCTAGGGTGGTTTTGCTCACACACTGCCAACACACATTTATGTTCAAACACCATGTAAAAGTGAATTTTGCATAATAGGTGCCCTTTAAACAACTTACTCCGAGCTTGTATCCTCGACGGGGTCAATTCGTTCTTCAAAATGCAGCCGTTGGTCGTCCGAGTTTCAAATTCCTGTGAGGAAAAGGTGAATCCTTCCCCGCTGTCCAGAATCATCTGAAGGAGTAGAGTGCCATTCTCAAAACGCGATGAACTATCAGTGAATCTGATAAAGAAACTTCGTGTTTTTATGCCATTGATCGCTGGGCGTGTGCGATGCATAACGTTAGATCACCTATTTACCATGTGAAAAGCTCTGGGGGCGTGGCGGCCTCGGCTCATTAAAGATAATGAAGGGAGAACAAAAAAACTGTACCTCTCCTTGGTTTCAAACGGATTACATAAACTGGAAATAATAAAAAAAAAAAAAAAAAATTACTTCATTTAAAAGAAGAGAATTTCAGCTTCATAAAGAGAAATCTCTCGTATCTCTGTGACAAGTATTGACTGAGTTACAGTTAATTTTTCGGACCCGTTTCAGAATGGACCTCACTGACAGAGAGAAGGCAAAACGTGCATCAGGTTTATTTTTCTTTATTTGACGAAAAGCACAACACTTTGTTTTTATGTGAGTACCCACAAAAAAATAGACATTTAACAGGATCTAATGATGTACAACACTTATATGTAAGATCAAAATCAACAGAGTAATTTGATTCTCTTTTGCACTGATAAAGAAAAAATCGAGCTCGTCACCCGACCCCAGAGGGTTAATTTGAGAAATTAATAAATATATACTCATCTGATCTTTGAGGAGTTATATGTCTGCATTAATATACTATTCAGCCTTTAATCCGGACTGTGTTTACTTGTCTGGTTGATCTTTGGCTGCATTTAATTCTGAGGAAATAAATGGTGAAATTCCCGGGGGGAAATGGTTAACACCTCCTTATAAGGTGCCCCTCTCCCTTCAGTGCCCTCAGGGGCCGTTTTGCCAACCCCACCAGCTCATGTGCTTTGGGGCGCAGCGGTCTCCAGTGAGATCTAATTTCAGTGTCTGACTCGCAGGAGGAGGGTTTAAGAATGGTCAGTTCGGTTGTTTCCTGTCGGTCATCCGTTTCAGGGCACCGGATTGACTTCTCAAACACGGCTAGAGACCAGTCTCGAGATGCAGGTTCCTTTAGCAGTCTCAGCCGAAATCATCTTGGGGTAAGTCAGATCTGAGGACCGTCATTATCTAAAAAAGGCTTCGACGAAGAGATCCTTAGACCAATGGCGCCAGACCTCTGAGGGCAGTCCCCTCTTGTGGAAGTGGTTATCACCTCATTATACGGTGCCCATTTCCCTTCGGTGCCATCAGGGGGCCATTCTGCCAACCCCGCCACCTAGTGTGCTTCGGGGTGGTCTCCAGTGAGCCCATATCTCAGTGTCCGCCCGGAAACTTAGCGGCGTTGGGATACTCGCCCCCTCTGAGGAGGGTCTCAGAGCAATCAGTTCGGCTGTTCCCTGCTGGTGTGCCACTTCAGGGCATCAAATTTTTACCTCTTTCACCTTTGTCGCCTTTGTCCTGTCCTGTCCACATTGGTAGGCCCCAAGCAGGCTCTGGTTATGGAACAAGTGGTAAAGGCTTTGCTTTAGTGTTCCTTCCCCCGACAGAGAGTCCGAGATTACAGCCAGTATTTTATCGTTCCTAAGAAGAATGCAGGGTTGCGTCCAATTCTAGATCTGTGTGCTGAGGCGAATCGTGACCCACTCATAGACTCAGGTCTCTCAACTGAGGTTGTTGAGGCCACACTCACTCTAAAACTCCACAAGGAAACTGTGCTGTCATCACTTGGATCCAGTTAACTGCCCGGTTGGTACAGTGCTGGAATTTCTGCAGGATCGATTCTCCGCAGGGTTATCCCCCTCCACTCTAAAGGTTTACGTGGTGGACTAGCTGCTTACCACGCATCTTTGGGTGATGTCTTTGGGGAGAAACCGTTGGTGTTTCCTCCGTGGTGCTTTTGACCAGTAGGAGTATGGCGGCTTGGTAAGCCTTATAATAGGGGTATCCCTACAAGAAGTGGCTGATCCTTTCCGCACACATTCATCAGGTTTACAACCTAGATTTGGGCTTTACCCCTGGGTCCCAGGTGATTCTGTCTTTGTTGTGCTCACCTGATTTTACACAAGACAAGCACTGGTCCCTATGGCAGCGTTGGTATGGTCGTTTCCATAGCGTCAATCTCGACGCAGTGCGAGTTCCCTTGAAAGGGAACTCCTCGGTTACGACTGTAACCTCGGTTTATAGCTTCCTTCCATGACGTCACCCACCTTTACCCATTCAACTGATTGCACAAGTGCTTCACGACGCAATCACGCAGAGCTTTCCTATAGAGTCAATCCCGACGCAGCGTCTCGTTCCCTCTTCAGGGAATTAGTATTATTAAAAAATTCACTATTTTCTTAATTTATGATTTAGGCAAATTTGGCCAAGTCAACCATATAGTTAAAGGAATAGTTCACTTAAAAATGAAAAATTTGTCATCATTTACTCACCCTCAAGTTGTTTGAAACCTGTATGAATTTCTTTCTTCTGCTGAACACAAAGGAAGATATTTTAAAGAATGTCGGTAACCAGACAGTTGATGTTGACTTCCATAGAATGTTTTTTCCTACTATGGAAGTCAATGGGGTACATGAACTGTTTGGTTATCGACATTCTTACAAATATCTTCTGTTGAGTTCAGCAGAAGAAAGAAATTCATAAAGGTTTGAAGCAACTTGAGGGTGAGTAAATGATGTCAGAATTTTCATTTATAAGTGAACTATTCCTTTAAGAACTTTATATAACCCAGTGTATTTTCAGCCTAGATACACCATATCTGTGGCATGCTGTCAGTTACCCCAGACAATAATTTTGACTTGTCTCTCTGCATACAAAAATACGTTTACATTAAAGACAAAAATGCATCCACAATGTCGCTGACCCTGAAAGTGAACTCTGACTTATTTTTTATTGAAAGACTTGGGGTGTAAAATATTGATGAAGTAAATGAATGTAGGTAAGTGCAAATATGTGCACACTATAGATTAAAAGTATTGACATGGAAAAACACAAGGTAAATGTTGGAGTTCATGAACTGCATACATTTTATTTAGAGTCATTTTCAGACTTGTGAAGTGTAAAGACAGCATCTGCAAATACATTGGGATATTTTGGTGTTGGAATAACAGCTTCCAGTGTGTTACAGGGATAGTGCACCCAACAATGAAAATACTGTCATCATTTCCTCACCCTCATCATACCAAACCTATATGACTTTCCCTTTGAAGTTTGCTTCAATGGAAGCTGTCATGACATCAGTGATAGACCTGTTCCCTGTGGTGCTGCGCAAAGCAGGACGACGAGAAATTTTACTCCTAGTCTTCTGTCTCACTTGCTTCTTTGGTCAGCTCATCATGGTTACAGAGGTAAGGAGAGTGTGTTTGTATGTGAGAGAGAATAAAATGAACTAAAGTTACCTTTTTGTTACCTATAATGGCCTAATGTTAAAGAGATAGATCACCCAAAAATGAAAATTAGGTCATCATATACTCACCCTCAAGCTGTTCTTAACCTGTATTCATCTCTTTCTTCTGCTGAAAAGTTTTTCCATTCACTGGAAGTCACTGGGGGCTTTCACACTGGGTAGTTATAGGAAGAAAATTCGTTTTTTTAAAAGTCAGTTATAGGAACTTCTCCTATAGGGCCATTTTCCTGGTTACATTCACACTGCCTGTAGGAACTCTGAAGTGACGTAAGCCGGCTGATCGTGATGTAATTTAAGAGCGCCATTCTAGCTGAGCAGTTTCGCTTGGTCCCTTCAAATTTGTGTTGGATTTCCTCCATAGCGTAAAGGTTATAGACTTCTCTGTTGGTTCATCTATCACTGTTTTCCATGTTCGTGGAGTAAACTGTGTGTTTACACTGCTTTTTGTAAATGCCAGTTGCCGGTGCTTTGTATGGCATGAGTTCGTCCAATCAACGTACTCTTGTGTCACTGGTAATTCCTATTGTGCTGGGTTAGACCCTACTCTGAATTGAATAACTAAAATGGTTCCCAGTTCCTGTGGTGCGAACATGCCAAAAAGGGGGTACTTCCTAATAGCTTAGATTCTCCCCTGGGTGAGCTGTAAACAGTCTGCCATGTTTGTTTCTGCACTAGAGCAGCTAGTGGTGACACAAGAATGTATCAGCTAAATATTTTGTTGTTGGCTGTAGGAATAAAGATTCATTAATTCATTCATTTGATCAAGAGATCATTTACTCCTGGTATCTGAGCAACTGCAGATGGCATGGGTTACATTTATTTTTGAATGGCATGTGCCCAAAAATAGGTAATACTTATATGTTTGTGCTAACCTTTCGTTTAACATTTATTATAATAAACTGCATTAGGCAAGTGTCATGGTATGACATAAATCAAATCTGACTATAGTAATTAAGCAAATTGATACCTGTCGCATATATTCTCTGGCTTTATAGGCATCCTATCACAGTTCCCACATGAGCATCTGTACAATTAATGAGTATGATGCAACATAATCCCCGACTCTGGTTCATGCAAGCAGGGCTGAACTCTATTATTTACAGAAGCAGCCATATTGGTGGTTTTGTTGTTGTTGTTGTTGCCAGAGTGTCTGAGGCACAAGCTGTAAAGGCGCAGCCCTCTTCTACAAAGGGGGTGGGGAGCAGCAGCTTATTGATCATATGATCCAATCAATTCCCAATGGACAACTTCACTGACACTTCAGACACATTCTGTGGACACCTGAGACTTATATTACATCTTGTAAAAAGGGACATAATAGGTCACCTTTAAGGATGTAGTGTTTGGTCCTCATCATTATATGACGGATTTAAAAGAGAACATGTATTTTATTGTAAATATTTTACTGTTACTTGACACATTTTTGAAAAGTTTTAGTTTAAAAGAAACATGTCTAAACTTCTAAAAAAATTCTAGAGCTGTAAAATTGAGGGCCGGTGCAAATTTATTTAATTAATCTGTGTTTTTTTTTGGTTTTTTTTACATCCACAATACCTTAATCTGGCCCTAGCTGTAATGTTTTATTGTGGCCTGCAGGGGGGGATGTATGTATTCCAGTTGTTTGACTACTATGCCTGTAATGGAGCCTGTGTTCTGTTCCTGTCTGTGTTTGAGTCTCTGGCCATGGGTTGGATCTTTGGTGAGTCATAACATAATAAAGTGCTAACATAATAAAGTCAACAGAATACAATGACAATGCTAGAAAGCCAGTAAAGCTAAATCCTCTACAATCCACAGGGGCTGAGAGAATGTTTGACATTATTGAAGACATGACAAAGTCACGCCCTAACTACATATTTATGCTGTGCTGGAAATACCTGACTCCTCTCGTGTCCCTGGTGAGTGTCTGAATTTCATACATTAGTTTGGGTTTGTCTTGTCTTAACGGATATTAATTTGTTGTGGATTCCTGAAGCATTCTCAACCATAAACACCTCAGTTGAATTCAGTTATTACTATCATTTTTCTTTTCCATCCTTTTTCACCATTTCTCTTTTTCCTCTGTCCATTCTCAGGTTTCTTTCATCTGTTCTATGGTGGAGTACCAGCCCCTGACTTTTAACCGCTGGTATGTGTACCCGGACTGGGCATACGCACTAGGTTGGTTACTGGCCCTGTCCTCCATTCTGCTGGTGCCTGGATGGGCGCTGGTTCGAATGTGTGCTGGGAAAGGGAGTCTGAAACAGGTGAGAATGAAAATATATTCCTTCCTGACATTTGAAAAGATAAACAAGCCTATGGGATCTCAGATGAGATCAAAACAGGGATGCAAATGTAAAACTAACTATTTAACCAATGTTAATCTATTGAAACTAACCAAGAGAATTTAATCTGCTTTTGAATTTCAGTACTACCTAACTGTTGTTTCCCTATATTTGTGTGTCTTGACAGCGTTGGTGTCACCTGTGTAGTTCTGATACAGAGCTTCCTCTCACCTCTAAACAACTAGCTGAAATGAAGGAAACTGCTTTCACTGCAGAGATGGAAGACTTAATCAGGAGGGACATAGAGGAACATGAAAATGGACTTTGAAAGAAAAATTATTGAATTTTGTAGTCAGTATTTTCATTGCTATTCTTGTGAATAAAAACCTGAAGAAACAAGGCCCAAAATGTATTTTTTCATCTCAAGAAACGGGTAACAGCTGTGCTCAACACACAGGTTAGAGTCAGAGGATATGTCTAAACCAAAAAGGTTGTTTCAGACAAACTTTGTATTTCTGCTCTCAATTCTTTAATTCACACTAACAAACTGGGAGGTACCGTTAACTTGCATAAGGGATTTGCAGCCCGGTGTAAACCAGTGGAGATGAGGAAGATTCAAAGCCAGCAAAAGGTGGATTGCCCACAAGTGGAACTTGCCAGGTGAATCAGTGCTGCAGTGGCAATAATGCAGTCATTACAGGACCATCGTGGCGAAAAGGGAACTTTCAATTTACCAGTCGATCTATGATCCGAACCCTCAGCTATGGTGATGAACTTTGGATAGTGACAAAAAGAACGAGATTACAGCTACAATCAGCAGACATTTCTTTTCTCCGCAGTGTCTAGGGTGAAGCTCGGGAATCCAAGAGGCACTCGGAGTAAACCCATAGCATTATTCCCATGGCAGGCGTTTGGTTTAGCTCACTCTGTATTGCTTGGTATTGTGCCTTTGGATCATGATAAAGTTTATTTTAGATCATTTTCCAAGGTTTGGTATGGATTTCATGCCTTTGAGGGAGGTTTTGTCTGGAAAAGAGGAGAAGACAACTTTTTTGCGATTGATCAGCTCAAGCAGATTATCTCTGATGAATATCCAGTACAAGGTTCAGGGCATCAAGTTCCCATTGTTTTGGGACATATATCATATCAAAGCTTTAGTGCTAAAAACAGTGTATGTCTAATGTGTTTAAGCTTCTCTCTTAAGTAGAGAATAAGACTACAAGACAACAAATGCCTATGTATTTGTGTCTTATGATAAATATATAGGCATTTTATTTTTATTTTAATAAACTATACTTACAACTATATTTCAGTTAGAATACACACAATGAATTATGTGCACATAAATGGTGCTGATTCATGTTTGGACCTCTGCAAAAGCAGTACCATTCCTCCGTGTATGCAGATGATATAGTTTGCGTAGCACACCCCCCTGGGAAACAGTTGGCTCAAAGAATGTATTCCCAGCCTGGAGTCTTCAAATTTTACATATACATTTTAAATATTGTTATTGAAACAAATTACTTTGTCATAAAGATACCTGAGGCTCACTCACATCAGGGGCCTGTACCATGATGGTAGTTGAACAAACTCAGGGTTGCAGGATTAGTTTAGAGTTGACAAAACCAAACCAATCCTGGTTGGACTTTCTCTGTCAACTCAGGCTTTGATCCTGAGTTTAGGAGTTTAGGTGTGACATCAGTAGCGAACAGCCAATCAAATGCTGAGAAAGAGTACAACTCATTCAAAACTCATTGAAATTCATTTCTCGCGAGAGAAGCAGCGCAATTCACTTATTAAATAAAAGTATTACAATATTAAGAATATAAACTAATTTACACAGCAAGAAAAAAATAGCTGTCTATGTAAGAGGACAACTAAAAGAAAAAGTCTCGCTACTGTATATCAGTGTAAGTAAAAGTTGTGAAGTTAGTTTATACAGTTGACAAAGGTATAGAGAGAATTGAACATTTAAGCTCACATGTAGTCATTTTATTGCTTCATCTATTGATTCTAAAGCGTATTTATATTAGGTCACCTTTATATATTTATTCATTTAAAATCTGCATAATAATAATTGAAGAAACTAAAATTGTACATGTGTGATCTATTAAGGGTATAATAATTACATAAATAATTTCTAAATCATACAAATTTATTATTCTAAATAAGCATTACTAAAAACCAGACGATTTTGTCTTTTAAATCATTTGCTATGTAGTGACCTTTAATTTGGAGTAGAAACAGGTGGAGTGACTTTATCGCGTCAGACATGTGTCACTTTGCTCACAGCTGATTGGTCCAAAAGTTCGATTTGCAACCTTTTTCCTGGAACATAACCTGCCCTGGACCAGGTTAGCCGTGGAGCGTAAGTTACTATGGCGATGAACACTGCTAAAGGCCAAACCACTTTCATTTCACCTAAACCGGCTTCATGGTATAGGCCCCTGAACTAATAAAGATTCAAACAACATATAATACTTCAGTTTTGTCAAACAATTAAAAGGTGTGTAATAAAATCACAACAATCAACATGTTTCGCCCATATGTTTACTACTAGTTACATCTGGGAAAATTAAAGTAATCTTAAAAAGCATTAATTGTCACATCCTATCCCATGATGTAAAGATGCAAACCCCATCTGACTAATCAAAATCAGGTTAAAAGTGTCTCATCTTACCCTGGTCTCAATTGAATCTTTTTCATTTTTAAGTTATCATTTTATTATTTTATTACTTTATTATTTGCAGGGCTGTTCTGTGTTGGGAGCTTTTACAACATTACATTTTTTTAACCCAAACAATTCTACACTTGCAGATGAACATACAAATAAATGTGGACAGAATGAGGAGTTACTGTATATGAGAGCACAGTGAAGTCAAGATTAAGTAAATCTGAACTCTTTTCCTGCCATTGATGGCTTGACATGAACACCCACTAAATACCCAGTTGTACTGTGGCTGCCGTCGCATCATCCAAGTGGATGCTGCACACTGGTGGTGGTTGAGGGTGTACAGTAGTACATATGAAAGCCCTATATAAATGCTTCATTCATTCGTTCACCCTCTCGCTTGACTAATGCTAGGGCTAGCAGAAGGGCAGTTTTTAGCAAAAGGGGCTGCAGCTCGGCTGACTGAAGTGGCTCGAAGGGTGGTCCCCTAAGGACCGTAGACAGGTCCCATGTTGGAAGAGTAAGGGGGTGAGGTGGGTTCACCGTTTATGCAGTGCCCCCTTAGCCCCTTGTCCAGCAGCTCCTGCAGGAAAGACAGCACCAGTGAAACGTCACAGGACAATGGGTTCATACCGTACTGTGCACCAGTTGGAGAAGACAGACCATTTAAGGGCGTCTAGTAGATGGGGCTGTAGCCTAAGAGATAGTTAATACCCTTGCATGGAGGCTTGTAGGCTCCCGTCAAGGGGCCAGACATGGATGGACCAGAACTCGGGTTGGGGGTGCCAAATCGTCCCCTTCGCCTGGGATAGGAGTTCCTTTCTCAGGGGAATTGGCCAGGTAGCTGCTCTGGGAGCCATGACTGGTTCCGTCAAAGAGGGGCCACCAGAAGGACTGCGCATCTGTCCTGCCTGATTCATTTGATGAATTGGAGCAGCGCGACCGGGGAAAGACATACAGACATACTCGTGGGCCAGTGTGTTCCTGTCCTTCGAGAATTAGATTTGGCAATGAGAGTTTTCTTCTGAGGCGAAGAGGTCGACCTCTGTCCTCCCGAAGATACTCCAGATCGTGTGAACCATCTGGGAATAGAGCACCTATTCCCCTTGGGACATATTGCCCCGGGACAGCATGTCTGCCCTCTGGTTTAGTTTGCCCGATACCTTCGCTGCTCTCAGCGAGCACAGGTTTCGCTGTGCCCATAAGAAGAGGCGTCTCACCAGTTTGTACAGAGGCCTCGATCTGAGTCCACCTCTGTGTTTTTATGTAGGACACCACTGCCATGTTGTCCGAACGGACTAAGACATGGTGCCCTTTCATGTCTGGTAGGAATATTTTGAGAGCCAGAAATACCGCCAGCATTTCTAGGTAGTTGATATGCCACTCTTTCTCCATGCTCAACCAGGAGCCGAATGTCGGCCTGCCTTTGCAGAGAGCTCCCCAACCCGTGTTGGAGGCATCTGTCGAGACCACGTTCCTTCTGGAGATCAACCCCAAGTCTGCGCCGGCCTGGTACAGATGAGGGAACTCGTCGTTGTGCGACTATTACAACGTCGTAGAAATTTGCTCTTTTTAAATTTGCTTTAAGCTCGCCAGATGGCCGCAGGGGAGATGCGCTGGGACGTCTAATCTGCTGCTGAGCTCGCTTACAGAGAGAAGTCTTCTTCTTCTGTCTTATCTCGGAGTCCAGCGAGGAGAAGATCTTTGCGCAAAAAAATTCTGGGGGGCCATAAAAGTTTTGTAAAAATTATCAAAAATGCTGGTGCTGGCTGGCAACTTTTTAAAAAAAATTCTGGTGGGAAAAGAGTTAAAAGGTGAATGAAATTTTTTATACTCCAAATGTGGTTGTGCGATCAGATACCCTTCTGTACCAGTGATTCGCATCAATCATTTGTTGCATCAATCATTATAAGCCAATCAGCATTTGAGTTATGCATGAATCAAGGTTGGTGTATGCCACCTGAATGTATGTCACTTTTGAATAAACATTTCTCAACAAAACTCAGTAGCTTTTGCACGCTCAAAATATGATCTGTTGCTCAAAAAATGGTCACAAGTATTATTCCACTGTTGCCACAATCACCCTTATCTGTTTCAGAGAAAACCTGAACATGCATTTAGCACCCACTCAGTGGATATTGTTACTTAAAACCCTTTTGATATCATGTCGCCACAGGCACTTTTTTTTCTTTTTTTTCATGAGACTTGTGTAAAAAAAATTGGGTTAATTGTGACCTGTAGTTAATATTTCCCTGGGTTAACTTTCCAAGACACTGTGTTCTTCTGTACATCATTTAAATTATAACTTCAGCTATTCCCATGTTTGCCCCCACAAAAAGCACAATAGTCTTAGCTGCTGACATACTGTACGAAGTTTTACAAACATTTTGTCAGTGTCACTCCATCCTTCAAAACATTTGTTCAGACTCAAAATAAGGTCACTGTGTTAATATCCACTGGTATAACCAGTGGTGGAAATGGCTGAAAATCCCTCTGCGGAGTAGATAAGGGAGGACTTTTTGTGGATGTGTGCATGTGTTGCAAATATTTCTAGATTCCTGTGTGCATTTTGTGGATCTGTTGCATGCATGTGTGGACGGTTATGACATTGTTTTGAAAGCTGAAAATGGAAGCTGACATTGCACAGCCAGACGCAGAATGTCCCCAAATGCTGACTTCACATTGTGACTACACAACCTTAAAGCATGTTTTTATAGGATAATGCAAAT